TAGAGCAGTAACCTGGCCAAGGTGTCTCCGAAGCTATCCTTATAACGAACAGGATGGTCCGCCCCAGATTGTTGGGACGACGGGTCAGTATTATCTGCACCGCTGATTTCAGACTGTCTGAAGTCGACCACTTGTCCACGGGAATCTCATTGGCACCTCTTTTTCCGGACACTGAACAAGCGGTGTACTTTGCGACGAAGGATGCTGATCGATATCATCGATCATCTGTGCTTTTATCTTTGTCAATGTTCTGGCGACTCTCCTCGTTTTTTACACGTTATGGTGAGCTAGTGTATTAACCCATCCTATATCTCCCATTCAACCAAGGCGATAATCCAACGGTTTTCATCAACAACAGGCTGCGAGGAAACTTGCTATCGCCGCGACACCGATCCCATTCGTCGAGAAAATGATGAATCTCCTCGTCAAATCCGGTTGTGCCTACTGCGCCTTACAGGCAAGGCTGCGACATACCAGGGATACATCCCAACGGGTGACTACTTCACAGAGAATTAGTCTAATCTCAGAGATCATTCCATTCCAGGTTGGTTCCGCAGTCATGATGAGTCTGCTCTGCATCGCCACGGTACAAGTGTCGACTGATCTCTTCGTATTCCATAAGTTCCCGGTCGCATACATGACTCAGGGCAATGTATCCCTCAACGGTGATCATCCTGCTCAGCACCCACCGTTCCATTCTCGAGACCTTTGGTTTCACTAGCGAGGAGATAGATCCAGGTGTGATCGACGTCAAGCGCGACGCCGAATATCAAGTCTCCTCTCGTTACAATGTACATTCACAAGCTGGTATTCAATATGCCGATTTTCCGACCGATTTTCCGCGCGGGTCAACACTCGACCGTTGGCACCCAACAAATTCTGGCACAAATGAGCTAGCGAGATTCCATCCTCCTAGTAACACCAGGGACGGCATGGTCAATAGTGTCCGAGATATACAGGGTAGACCGATCCAAGCTTCCACCCACTCGAAGAACCGGCTTATCGACGACAGCAGTATCACGTACACACACCACTCTCTGTATAATGACGTCCCAACTCCCCTCACCGAAAGACCCACAAAACAACACCCCCCCCACACCACCACCCAACAGACCAAGAAACCACACATCAAAATAACATCTCATCTAAAACCACACACATACGTACACGTACACGTACAATACAACAACCTACACTAAGTATTTCTTTCAGGGGTTTGTAAAGTACCGGTACCATATATGCAGTGTGCACAGTCGATATAAGTTGCATTGCAGAACGAGAGAGAATGGATCATTGCGTTGTGAGAATTGAGAAATGAGAAATGAGAACGGGAAACGGGGGTATGAACTGCTGTCTCGAGACTGGAACTGGAACTGGAACGGGAACGGAACGGATGCATATCGTATAACAGGGTGAGCGGGGCGGGAATATTGTATATCATCGCGGGTGTAGACGGCGGGAAGGGCGGGTGCAAGGAAGTGACGGGGGGGAAACGAAACGAAACGAAGCAATCGTCCTTTCTTTATCTTGTATTCGATGGGGCGAGGGACGTATAACCTTGAACGACGGGGGGTGAACTGTACTTGTATGCATGAACAGACGAGGCGAGGGCAGAGGCGGAACGACTTTGGGGGGCGGCGAGGGGGGGAGGAGGGGGGAGGGACAAGAAAGCACATGATCGTGATCGGATCGTGAGGGAGGGAGGGGGGGAATCTATCCCATCTTCAGAAAAACAGAACCTAAAAGCTGCTGGACCGAGAACAAGCACCCCCTCATCTCCTTCCCCCACCCGCCCTCTTCGCCGACCCCGACTTGGACCCCGACCCCGACGTCGACCTCGGGCCCTCCTTCCCCGCGCCCAGGCCCTGACTCTTCGGCGGCGACGCAGCAGCAGCAGCAGCCACAGCACCAGGGACCTCCTCAACAGGCTTCATCGCGTCCACCTCGCTCATCGTCAACGCCCCCTCTCCAACCGGCACTCCAACCGTCGCTCCCACCACCGGGGCAGGCACCTCCTTCACGGCCTCCTCCGCCTTCTTCTTCGTCTCCCGACTCTTGCTCTTTTGTCTCTCCTTCTCCTTTTCCTTCTCGTCCATCTTAGTAGTCGTATCAGCCGCCTCACCCACACCCCCACCCACCCCCCTCCCCCCTTCAGCCTCCTCCCTCTCCGCCCTCCTTATCACATCAATCTCCCCCTGCACCGCAACCCCCTCCAGCCACCGATGATGCACCAGCTCCCCCGCCTTCGCCCGCTTATCCGGGTGTAGCCGGAGCATGGGCGTGAGGAAGGCGGAGAGCGCCTCGGCGTCGGAGGGGGGGAAGAGGTATTTGTCGTGCAGGACGGAGGAGAGGGGCCAGTAGCGTAGTTTGTTTATGTGGCGGAGCTCGCCTGGGTGTGCGTTAGCATGTCATTCCTCTTCTCTCTCATTACAACACGAAGAGGAAGAGAGGGGGTGGGGAAGGGGGAGAGAAGGGGAAGAAGGGGAAGAGAAGGGAAGAAACGCACCTTTGCGATTAAAGAACTCACTCGAATACTTCCCCGAGAACGCAATGCTCTTCGGAATCTCCCCCATCAGCTCCATAATCTGCGCAATATGGTCGTCGTCTTTACTATACCTCGACCCCGACGCCGGATCGAACAGGTAGTCGCCCCCCGTGATCAGCTCGAATATCTACGCGCATATAGTCAGTCACGCATAAAAACAAAACAAAAAAAAGGGGAGAACGGAGAACGGAGAGAGGAAGAAAGGAGACGCACAACACAAGCCACACTCCAAATATCCGCACTAGGCCCCCACTTCGCGCCCAGTATAACCTCGGGACACCGATACTGCCTCGTCTGAATATCATCCGTAAAATGATGCTCCGTCCACGTCGCATTTCCCAAATCCGCAATCTTCACCGTAATCCTCTCCGTCCCCTCCACCTCTCCCCCGTCCCCCTCCCCCGCACCCTCCTGGAGGAAAGCTGCCACGGCCTCGTCCACGCTCATCCCCCCGGCTGTGGCACCGGGTATGGGCATGGGCTTGGAGGCCTCCCCGGTCCCGGTGGGCGCGAGCTGGGAGAGGAGGGAGGGACCGGCGCCGACGCGCCCTACGAACCCGGCGCGCGTGTCTTTGTCTTTGTCTTTCTCCATGTCCTCGCTGGGCCCCCCCTCGGCGATCGAGACGTTCCTTACGTCCTTCGCAAGCAACTCCTCCGAATGCCTCTCCCCCGACTTACTCGTCCCCTCCGTCTTCGCCCCCGCAGCACCAGGCTCGATCCGGCTCATCCCAAACGCCCACCGATCCATCATGGGGCTCCCCGCGCTATACGAGCTGCTCGCGGAGTGGCTCGTCGTGGTGGCGCGTTCGGCAAAGGCGGAGAGGGAGGTCATGGAGGAGGGGGAGGGGAGCGGTTGCGAGCCCGTTATGAACACGCTCTCGGAGCGCGGGGTCTGGTTCCCGCCTCTCCCCTTGCTCGGTGGGACCCCCGTGAGCTTGCTCGCATGCGGCACGTGCGGGGCCTCCGCCTCCGGTGCGGGGGCCGGTGCCGCAGCGAGCTCAGCTTGAATGATAGACTCGACGTCGTCGATGCATATAAGCACGTTCTCGGGCTTGAGGTCCGTGTGTATCACCCCGCAGCAGCGGTGCATGTAGTCCAGCCCCAGGAGGACCTGTTTAGCGATCTGGCGGACGAGCGGCATGGGGACGCCTTTGTTCTGGTGGCGCTTGATGAGGCCGAGGAGGTTCTCGCCGAGGACCTCGAAGACCATGCAGACGTGCGTGCCGTTGGGGCCTTTGTGCCGGAAGTGGTCGAGGAAGGAGATGACGTGCGAGCGGCCGGGGTGGGTGTGTGCGGGGGAGGGCGGGGGTGCGGGTGTGTTTAGGGTGGGTGGGGAGGTGGAGGGGGGCGTGGAGGAGGTGATGAGGCGCTGGAGGAGCTTGATCTCGTCGAGCGCGGTTTCGGTGTATCGCGGGGCGGACTTGACGACTTTGAGCGCGACGTGGCGGTTCATCCTGCGCGCGATGGCCCCCGATCAGATCATACTTATTTTACAAGATGGGATGGAGGACGCACTTTGTGTCCCTCGCGAGCCATACGGTGGAGAAATGGCCCCATCCGAGCTTGCGGACGACGACGTAGCGGGCGTCGGAGAAGGTGTCGCCGATTTTGACGGGGTGGTAGCCGCCTTTGACGTAGTCCTCCCAGTCCTCTTCGTCTTCCGTCATGACCGATCCAGAGTGCGACGAGTACGACCCGTGGGACATGATAGAGAGCAGGAGCAGATGGGGTTGGGGCGGAAGATAAGGGCGAAGCCACGATAAGGCGTTACGTCACGGGGATCGGAGCGTGGGCGTGGGCGTGAGTATATGCCCCTGCAGAAGAGACGTCTGTGTCGTCGAGGGCAGAGTCGCTTTGCACAGGTTTTTTTACTCGTCCCGACTCCGATGACGTGACACCATCTCTCCCTCGTGATTGGCTGCATTCCGGATCAAGCCACATCGGCTCATCGATCGAAACGCGTCGTCGCGTCAGGCCACACACCCTGAACATTGTAACTCTACGCACGGATCTCTCCTTGACCTCCCTTATGGACTGTCGTGTTCGATATCAATATCAATTATAATACAATGAGTCGGATCTGTCCACCTCCAGCCCGGTGATATCGCCCAACCGACGGGTCAACATCCTTGGCCGCCATACAAAAAGGAAGATCCTCCCATACTCGACATCGCCTTGGTATTCCACAGCATACCCAGCCCTCTTCGCATCTCTATTCTTAGTCCCTTCCTCTCGAGCTTGGAGCCTCGGCAGACGTTCCAGTTCCTCGACTTTCCTTGGCACACGATCCACCTCCACCTCTCGGACCCAAAGCAAAACACTTGGCGCCTTTAGTGGGATGCTTCACCCGTTTTCGAGCATCGCACGTTGTATGCGTCGTCCAATCCTAGTCGATTCCGACTTGGCTCATCGACACAGACATATACGAGGTAATCCGTGCACACGCACCTTCACATTCCGGTATGGTGTAACGGCTAACATTGCCGCCTTTCATCTGTGGTTCTTCCATGTTGGGTACGCGGCAGCTCGGGGTTCGATTCCCCGTACCGGAACTCCTCGAGAAGGTAGTGGTTTTGTAGTCAGAGCCTCCTGACCTTTTTCTTTTCCTTGGATGCAGGATGCAGGTGAATTCGCCTGGCTTTTTGCTGATTTCGACGACGCCCGCTCATGTGGATAGGTCATCACCAGGGACCGGCGCTCTTCTGCTCCCCATTTCTCCATCCAGTCCGTCCGTCCCGTTCTATTCTCATGAAGGGGGCGGCCATCAAATTCTCTTCTCCAGCCTCGATCATAACTCCCTCCCACAACACCCTAACTCTCTATCAAAATCCAGCGAGTCTTCAGGTCGCTTGCAAGTCCCAACTGGGACAGGCGCTGGTAGCGATCCAGTGGAACTTTGGATCACAACGTACGGTCACGCAGCCCCGACCTGATGCTCAATTTCGATTTGTCCGCCGCTCCATACCTTTTTCTCGCTGGTTCTGCGAGGGTCCGATGATTCTCAGCATTAATATCACTTTCTCCAGCCTCGTTCATCTTATTCCCTCATCCCACGAATTTGGTCTGGATCCTTCGAGCAGACCCAGCGTATCATTGATAACGGCACGCAGGCTCGAATCGCCGAGTGTACAGAAATCGAGACCCGTTGCTCCTCCCACCGCCGAAAACGCTACCCCTGCGGCACCTCGAGTCAAACCTTGATCTTCTTCGCCTCCCTACACCCAACGGCGTTGTGTCCCTTCTGCACACTCAACAAACACGGATCTTAATCTCAGATAGTCCCCGGTATAAATCATCCCCGAACTTGGATTTTCTCCTCACCTTGTCGATGAATTTGCAGCATCGGAGGGGCTTTGCGCACGCATGGACTTTCCCCATCGTCCGGCACCGTCGTGCATTCTGCTAGCACCAAATATGAGTGGGTAAGAGACGGGACCTATCAGGACTTGGATAAAAACACTTACACCCGGCGAGTTTTGGGGACCTTCGGCCCTTTGACGCCCAGATGGTCCAGGACGTCCTGGGTAATCTGTACGGGAGGCGCGAATGAGTTTGAATTGGCATATATTCACATACGTTGACTCGGATGGGCAGGGGAGAGACATAGCACTGGTGACGACGTTGTGCAGCATTGGAGTGTCCCGGCCTGGGGACTCCCGCACATTTTCTCGGGCGCGGCGTCATCATAGCGGCCACGAATGCGAGGGGAAGGATAAGGAAAAGTGCGATGTGTGGCGCGAGGGAACATGGTGCTGATTCATGATACTGTGGGGCGGTTGGGCTACACGTTGTGACTGTATGGCTACGAGCCCACGGGATGTTGACGATTTGTGTCAATTCGCAACATGCAGAAGGGAGAAGAAGAAGACATGCGGGTAGGCAGGATTCTTTCGAATCATAATGGTTCTGTGCTCAAGTTATTATAAGGCCCGCGCCTGCTCCGTGGAGGGGGTCGTAAGTATGATGATGACCTCGGCCATCCATGCTGTCTGTAGAGAATCGAATACCCGGCGAAAGTTGTGATAGGTTGAGAGAATGAATACATACATGACTTTAAAATGTATTCATTCTCTCAACCTATCACAACTTATTAGCCCCTTCTTCGACTCTATATCGATTTGGGGCACCTTATAAGTCGCACACATGGATGGGCGATTCTTGATTCAAGTTAGAGTTATGATATGTTGGACATCCGGCGACCATCTCGTCCGCAGAGTGCCTAGGCAAAATTCCAGAATTCTGCTGTGAGACGTTGTATATACAAATTTCGCTGAGTGTCAGGGGACAAGCGTAAAACACACCATTCCGCATGATACATTTTCCTTCGCAGATCCTGGCCTATTCCTGCTCATATAAGTCGCGTCGACGGCCGGCTAGAGACGTTTCCGAGCTTGACAGTTCACTCGGGAGGGTGAGCAAGTGCTGATGCGGTTGGTGCCCGACGTGCCTGCAGTTAAGCTAGGTTAGTTGAGATGGAGCTCGAGATGGTTGCATATCACGCTTTTTAACCGGACAGAGGATGTTTTCCTGCATCCCGCTTCGCATCCTCAGTGCTGTCTCGGATATCCGAGTTCACCGCAGATGGGTGACACGCCACTTTGCAGGCCAGTTATGGGATTAGATCTTGAGATTACTCTTATCAACAAAGTTTGTCCATGTTGCTTGACGGCGTCAAGTCTTGATCTTCCTCATACCTATCCATTCGCCTCGACCCATCCATGTCTGTCATTGCCCCAACTTGACCCTTAGGTCTATTTCTATTCATTCGCTTGAGCTTTGCGACGACCCGCAAACTTCTGGAACGCCGATATGACGGGGATACGGGAGAGGTGGTAACAGGGATATCCGCGCCGGCGTCAAGGTCCATGCTGAACAAGGAGAAAACGTGCGAGGATCCCAGCTCGACCTCAATTCCTGTGGATGGTGAATTTTGTACTGCTTTGAGAGTGGGGCAGGTCCACATACTCGTGAGTCGTGAATTCAGGTTGGAATTGGTCATGATGTGCTCAAGGCCTTCGTGGTTCGTGTCTGAACGACGACCGATCTTGGATGTCTGGGACCACTGGAAAGTCTGCCAATCGAATGGTCATATGAACTTGCTAGGGCACATGGAGGGCTTCTGTAAAGGAGAGAGTCGTGTCCACAGCGCCCATGTTGGAAGTGAGGCGTTTGTCATTCAATCTCGTGTTTAAAGCTGCTCATACTTTGACGAACTAGGTATAACAACTATACAGGACATGGTCATAAATTCTAGGATACCTCGAAGTCGACACATTCATATCCGGAGGGTGCCATCTGTGAAATGTGCGACGGAACTGATGGAGCGCGGTACGTACCTATCTCTCGCTATCATTCACCTCCCTCTCTGAGCCAACGTGCACAGGGTGGACACGCATCCGACCTTGTCTCGGAAAGAGGCTCCTGGACATGGCACGACGCCTCGCTCGCGAACTCGACGCACTCTTGGAACTCCGGAAACAAATTTTGCAGGGTCTATATAAGACTTACCTGAAGACTCTTGGAGCCGTGGCTGTGATTCGACTATACGCCGGTGTCCAAGATCTTGCATTCTCTACTTTCGATCCTATCATCGTGGCGGATGATAACATTGAGATCAACGTAGCAGAGCTTCGGCTCGACTATGGACATCCTACCCAGCCTCATCCTGACATGGCCGGAGGACCAGAAGGCACCATCGCGAACGTACATTTCAAGAGAGCCTCTCAGCCTGATGCATCTGACCTTGACGAGGGTTATCGTCTTTTGACCTTCCACTTCCACGCCACTGCCCTATGCTATGGTGAGCCATTCTATCCTCACCTCGTTCGTTTTCATGTCGCGTCAGAGTTCCACTGTGCCTATGGGCGTAGTTAAAATATGGATAGGAAGGACAGGGCGGACAGGAGGAGTACTACGTAGTAGTGGGACGGAGCGTTCCATCTCCCTCAACGCAAATTGTCAGACTTCTTCGGTCCCTCCGCCAATCCTTCGTCGCGACTCGGGCGCCTTCTCGCAAAACCTTTGATGGTGACGAGGGGTAGTGCCTGACGGCCCATTTCAGCTGGAACCCACTTGGTACACTCTGGCCATTAATCGCTCTCACTCGAAGCCGATGTCATAAGACGTCGGTGTTTCTCATTCACCGATGACAAATCAGTACACAGCTCCGTCGCTGTAAAACGATAGATACAGGATAGATATCAGAAACTTCCACCCCCTCGACGTGTTCTGTCCCTGCGCGAAAACCTTAAAATGCTCCTGAGTACTAATCTGGAAACATTCTAAGAATTTCTGCCTGTTTCAAGTTGTACTTCCAGCTGTGCCTTCTCGACGTGTGCGAACCACGGGGAATATTAGGGTAAAGCACAGCCACGCTTCAACCTCTTTCACAACATCTCTGCTCATCAAAGCCTTGTGATAGTCTTGGCAAGGAATTTGTGACGAACGGGGCCTAGCCTCCAGCGCCCACGAATCCGAACGATCAAATTTATCTCATCTCAGATTCTCAACTTTCAAGTGATCTCGACATCCCGTGTATGGCCGCACATGTCAATTTAGCATTTCGCGTTCCTGCGCGCCCAACCATGACTTATAAGTCACTTCAAACACTCCGTTTCTTCTTCAAAAGTGGGACTTCACTACAGACATGACGCTCGACGAACGTGCGATTCTTCACCGCAAAGGCTTCGTGTTTCTCTATAACCTAGAGAATACCACTACGGTCACGGTATTCTATGGTACGTTACCCCATTTATGGCCGTCTTCGAACTTTGAAGTTGATACGTTTACCAGGGATGTTCACATTGCTTTTCGCCATCTCGACGTTTACGCTTATGTTAGTCGCCTACTTTTATTTCCTTGAAGTCAGTCTCACATGCGGCGGCAGCCAACGGGGCTTGAAAAGCAGAGCCACTCAAGTAATGCTTGTCACCACAGTTCTAAGTTTTCTACTCTCGACCTCACGTTGGATCGTTTTCGTGACATTCTACGCCATGCAAATCCAGGGTATCTTGATAGATTCAGCCGGAGTGTTGAATCAAGATACATTGAATCGTGTCATTGAACAAGGGGCTCCAATCAGATTGACTGTCCAGAAGTGGGAACCGCATCTAGTGGTGTGTACTCTCTATTCCATATTTCCGGTCTCGAAATTGACTGGCAATTTTCACATCTCAGACGATCATCAGTGATGGGGTAGTGATCTGGAGGACGTGGGTACTGTTCCCAGATCAAATATCGGTCAGACTTGTGACGTTGGCTCTCTTTTTCGGGACCATAAGTACGTACTTGTAACTGAATGTCTGCGCCGTTGTTTGATTTCCGTCACTCTCGCCTTAGGCACGGCACTGGGATACCAAGTTACGGATACAGTCGCTACTGTCCCGCTCTTCGAAGCATCTTTAGCTCTTTCATTGGTCACCAACGCTGTTTCCACCCTTCTGATCCTTTACCGACTTTGGTGAGAACATTCAACCTCGTAACTCGTCCTTCTCTCATTGCTGATCTGTTCTATTTAGGGCCCATCTGCGAACTTGGAGAGACGCGGGCCACC